CAGCTCAAGGTGAGCACTCTACCACTTGAGCTATAGCGCCACTTCCGGTTTTCTAGTGGTTTATTAGAGATAGGAGTCTCACGGTCTCTCCTGCCCGGGCTGGCTTTGAACCTCGATCCTCACATCTCAGCCTCCTGAGTGGTTAGTATTACAGGCGTGAGCCACCAGCACCCGGCATAATCAGAGTTTTTGATCTTTGCAAGTGTGGTTGGTTAAAGGGTATCTTGTAGTAGTTCACATTTGCATTCTTCTCAAGGTGTTAAGGATGAATATACTCTCAAATATTCAAATATTTCAGAAAGGAGAGTTAGATTCACTGGAGAAACAGGTTTGATATAGAAGTGGTTCTATCTTAGTAATGGTTGGGTGGAAAATTCAGTCTTGAGGTGAAGCTACAGTTTGTTTTGGAGAGAGAGCCAGGACCCTTGTTCAGAATTTTGCTGGGACCCCAACATTAGCTTTAATGACTACATTCTTGTGTGTGCATGTGTGTGCATGTATGTTTGTGTGTGGGTGTGTGCGGGTGTGCACATGTGCCAGTCCTGGGACTTAAGCTCAGGGCCTGGGCACTGTCCCTGAGCTGTTTTGCTCAAGATTAGCACTCTGCCATTTGAGCTACAGCTTCACTGCCAGCCTTTTTGGTACTTAAGAGTCACATGGACTTTCCTGCCTGACTTTGAACTGTGATCCTCAGATCTCTGCTTCCTGAGGATTATAGGCTTGAGCCACTAGTGCCCAGCACAATGATTTTCAAATCTTGTCCTGAGCTTTCTTCTTGGGCTAAAAAGTAGAGGGAACACAACCAGATTATGGATTCCCTACCCCTAGCCCAGGCTTAATTGGTTTCCTGCTTATCTGTCTGACGCCCTCATTTTCTAGATAAGGTTTCATTTGAATAAAGAGTTGTGGGGCTGAACAGAAATTGAAAAGCACTGCCCCAAATCATGTCCTTCTCCCTAGGGATAGATCACATTCTGTTTCAGAGTCCATGAATGTCGGCCAGACCCAGAGCAGTCTGACACTGCAGTGTAGAGAGTTTGTGAATGTCCCTTGAGGGAAATATGGCAGTAGCAATTGTGGAGTGCCTAGGAAGAGCAGACTGTATGCCCAAGTGGACTGTGGGCACAGTTCTGGGTTCCTGTTGTGCTGGGTGAACCCCAAAGAAACCTGGAATCCTGGGCTGGGGAGGTGGCTCAGTGGTAGAATGCTTACCCCACATGCATGAGGCCGACCCTGGGTTTGATTCCTCAGCACCACGTAAACAGAAAAAAGCCGGAAGT